TTTGCATATTCTGTGTATCATTAGTGTTTGCTTATTATTTTCAAACAGTAATTGGTACTTCATAAATGTATAATACAATTTTCCCTTATGAATTTAAGCTAAAATGTGATCATTTATGCTAGAACTGAAATTACTGCTGTTTAATATAGCACATGAGAGGAAATTAGATTTCAGGACATCAGATATAGATGGTGATGGAATTATAATTCCATTTCTAGATAGGAAATTTCACATCACTAATTTTGTAGTCTCTAACAAAACACCATGCAAACTAAGTTGATGACTTTCAACAGCTCTAATGAGGTGATTTTATTTACTTATTAGTGTATATTAGTGGTCAGAACACTGAGGTTTGTTTTGGGAAATTGGTACCCCAAAATACATGAATATAATATATCTTATCCTTCGCTCTCTTTCCTCCCTAACCCTCCTATCTTCAAAAGTCTACCTTCTAGTTTCCTGTTGATAAAGTGATTTTAGAAATAATAATGTTTGGGGAAGAAATTCTGATGAACAGAACTATGTCAAAATTTTACTATGTGGAAAATCTCCTTCCTCCTCCCTCCCCGTGATGCTGGAGATCAAACTTAAGGCCTCACACATACTAGACAAGCCCTCTACCATTTTAGTTAATTATAATGACTTGAGATTATTCTCTGGCATGAAGTAATGGTTTATAATCTAGGTTATATTTTTCTGGATAATTTAAAGCAAACCAGTAAGATGGAGGCTCCTGGTTCTTTTATAGCTACTACTTCAGGTCTGAGATATTTATATAAAAAGATAATGAATAAAAGACTCCATTTTTTAAACTTTAAACTAAGAAATCATATAAGCAATTATTTTATCGCTGAAACTGAGGCGTAAAGAGGTAAAGTGATTTGTCCAAGGCCACCCAGCATGTAAATAGCACAGGCAGGTGCTAAACCTTAATCTCCTGGGTTCTTTCCAGTGGAGATATTTAATCTCATTGCCTGGGGCTCCCTTGTCTATGTTACCACTAAGTACTTTTAATTTTGCTGGTTGTTGACTTGCTTCCTGCTCTTTAACTTCTGTCAGTATGAACATATTTACTAGAGCTCTCAACAGAAGATATGTTGAATAACTGGTTTTGTAACAGCGAAATTTAGGGTATGTTAAAGTCTACCACTTACAGGACCAGGTTCTTCAATAAAGAATTTCAGGGAGTAAAAAGTAAGAATGGGTACTTATAAAAAGAAATGAGATATGCCAGCCAAAGGCATTGCGCTTTGGAATTTGTTCTAATCCTAACTTGAACAACACAAATTAAAAAAAGAAAAAGAAAATCATAGGCAATCAGGCAAGTTTGAATATTTAATGGTATTAAGGAATTACTGTTAATTTTTCCGGTATCAGAAGTGGTTAAATATTACTATTTCAAGGTTTAAAATTCTGTCTTTTAGAGGTACATATTAAAGGAGATAATGTGATGTTAGAGATTTTCTTCACAATAATGCAACAGATGATGATTGATCTTGAGTTTTAGCTGGGTTGAGTATTTGAAGGTTTTATTTTTCTATATTTTAAGTATTTTTGATATCTCTCATAAAAGAATACACTGTTCAATGACGAACACAAAGTACTGTAGATCACTACTTTGATTTTATATTGAATAATAAATAATACAGTACCTCACTTTATGAGAAACTGAGGGCCCCTGAAAGAGTTTTAGATGTTATGTATTCCAATCTCCACAAAGAGGAGCAAGGAGAATAATGATAGGAAAATAACAGAGAGGGCCAGAGAGATTATGTTATTTGTTTTCAAAACAACTTCTGGTTTTACAAGCCAAAACAGTGGACTCCGGCGCTAACACTTGCTTTGTCTTTCCCGTCACCGGTTGTGAATTATTGCTTTTCAAAGCAGAATTCTTCCAACATTTAATGCGTAAAACACCTATAACCACTCCAACAGATCTGGGTTTTAAGCTAAATAACCTTCATAAGACTTCTGAACTTCCCTAAAATAAAATCTTAGCCGATCTTAAAGAGAAAAAGTGGGCTGCGCGTACTTCGACACCTTACTCCTCGGCCGTGGCTTCGCTGCTTCCAGAGTCAGAGCGCAGAGACCCCCGTAACTTCCGCCCGGGACCTCGCGCGGCTTCAAAACGCATCCTACGCAGGGGCTCGGTGAGCGTCAGCCGGATAGAGCGATCACCGAGTTCTCGATCCCTGCCCGCGATGTCGGCGCGGGAGGGGGCGCGCAAGGACTATTAAGCGATTTCAGAGTTCGGACTCAAACCACTTTTCTGATTTAATTTTTTAAGCAATATTTACACTACGTGCCTGAAAAAAGCTAGCTTAAAAAAGTTCCCATCGCTATATTTCTCAGGTGATGATGGGGCGTAAAAGAGAACACGCTAACCCTCACAGTGCACAGGCAACAGCCGGAAGTGCGGCCCGCAGCAGCGCGCCGGCGCGGCCGCTGTTCCTCAATGCCCGCCTTTCCCCATCCTGCCGGCAGGGGGCGCTGTAAAGTAGCGAGCGAATCTTATCCCCAGGGCCCTGGAAGTGAGCACGAAAGGGCGGAGGTGCAGCGGGCCGAGGGGCGTTCTATCCTCGACCGTCCTGCTCTCTATCACCCTTTGTCCTCCAGGGTCCCCGAGGCGCCCGGCCCCCGGGCCCGGTTGCTACGCGGAA